GGAAACAAAAATGGAATAAAATTCATTCCTTCACATTCTGAAGAGGTATGAGGTCTGATTTATTTATACTCTTTAATAGTCCTAAAAGTTAAAAGAATTGAGTGACTGTGCTATTTCTCCAGATGTCAAAACTCTGATTTACCTTTTCAGATTGAGAGTTTCTGAATATTTTCTCTCCACTCCATTTTTATTTTGGAGAGCTAGAAGTATATTCCAGTTGCACGAGGCAACTATAAAAAAACATTTGGAATCTTGTCAACCCTGGAAATACTCGTCCTGCCTCCAAAAACGCAAGTTACATTTCCATTAAAGATAGTATTATGTCTTTCCTCCTTCTAGGGACCCTTTTATAAAACTGTATGAACATTCAGGCTTTGCTTGCGTCGAAATATTTATCATTAAAACACCTAGCAGCCCGCAGACCTGGAAAAATATAATGCAAAAAGTAATTTATGTGTTGACATTTACTACACTCATTCCTATAAAATATAATTTCCCTTGCTTATACTATAAAGTTGTAATTATTCCTTACTTCTGGTTGCTTCGTGATGAAATATATAGTGTTCTTGTAAAAGTCATATACTAGTGTTTATGAGATTATATATCAGCATTGGGTTATAAAGAACATCCTGACACGCATTCAGCTATATCCTGCCTCATCCTTTGTAAAACCAGTCTCTTCTGTCGGCTACGCTGACACCCAAGTAATATGTATTATGACAGGTACTTTGCACTATCACTCCTTTTGTTATTTTTCTGAATCCGCATGACAGGCATCAGTTAATCGTAGCATAAAGTGGCCTTCAGTAGGTTAACTGTCACATCTCTTTATTGGTCAGGTAGAACGTTACCTCACTGTACAAGATGATTAGAAAGTGACCGCAACGCTCAGCACCAGTGTCTTGTGGGAACAGGAGTCGGTTGCGTGCGCAGGTAAGAGCGGGAACAACTGACCGGTTTGCTTTCACGGGAGTTCCTGAGGCAGTGCTACAGGCCACGCCTAGGCTTCTGGAGCACGTGGGCTCTGACGGCTGCTGTGGGCACACAGGCGGACAGTCCCTGTTCTCTCACCTAGACGAGACCTTAGTTGAGCGGATGCACTTTCCAAGGGATAGGTCTAGACCCCACAGACTGGAATCTGTCGTGTGCAAAAGGAAGGACACTTCCACCGGAGATTCCAGAGGACAGGGGAAGACACTCAGGGGTGAAGGACAGAGGTGTTTGTGTCTGGGGGGATCTGAGTGGCTCACTGAGAGGGAAGAATTCAGTCTATGTGATGCCTGATGGCTTAAAGTGAGAGAGGAGGGTTTGTAATCATACCTGAGAGGAAGGGAGAGGGAGCTAATTAAAGAGGATCTCACCAGGTGTGTGTGGGGAGATGCCCCAGAAAGAAGGAGAAAGCCCTAGATGTGCTCTGGAGACCCAGAGTCTGTAACAGTTGTGTCTGTGGGCTGGACCATGAAGAGATTCTCGATGACATGACTTCAACAATGGCAAGCCGAGGCTGGGTTTTCCTATTAAATTATGGGAGTTTGCAATCCCATACCAGTCTCTAGTGGGGAAGGAATGTTGTTTACTGGAAAAGCCAGGAGACTAAAAGGCAAACTTATTTTACACAATAGACGAAATCCCCACCACCAGTAGAAAGAAAAAAAATGGGTCTTAGGAGAAGCAGAAGTTTAAAGGATTTTGGTTTGAGAAGACATTTGGGGAGGAAAACATGGGAAAGCAGTCAAGGATGAGATCTGTGGAGACTTGCAAAGAGAAGATGTAGGTGACAGTCTTGAGAGTGGAACTCAGGAGAGTAATCTGTGATATGGTTAATATTTTCTAAAGAATATTTTGGCAGCTGTCTGCATAATGGATATTTAAGAAGGAGTGGAGACAAATATTAATTAGGAGATTATTTTATAAGAAAGGTGACAATGGGCTGAACAAGGGCAAGAATTGGACAGATCCCACACAGAATCTGAAATTAGAGTCAAAAGGACTTTCTAATGAACTGGATTTCTGAAGAGAAAGAAAAGCAGAGCATGACGAATGACCTCTATGGATGGCTTGAACAAAAGGGGGAACGGTGGGAACTTTTGGGGCAGGAGAGCCTGGGAGAGGAACGGGTGTGAGAGGGAAGTGAAGAGCTCGGTTTTGGGGATGTTACATTCAAAGTACCTGTTAGCCATCCCAGTGGAGGTGCTGAGCAAGCAGCTGAACACATACCTCTGCTTTCAGGGAGCATCAGGTGGGAGACACAGGGTGGCCTTCGCACGTGGATGGTTATGACACCCACGGGAGTCACTGAGGTCTCCCAGGGAGGGAACTGCCCCCACCTCCATTCCCCACCCCCAAGCTGATTCTCTGCACAAATGATGCTCTCTTCCAACTCTGTGCTTGTGTGGGGTGACACCCTGTGCCCTGTGCTCCACGGAGCACCCATTCTTCAGGACCCAGGAGGAGCGCTGTGCTCTTGGTGCCCACCGCCATGTCTGTCCGTCTGCGCCATGCTTCCCTGCAGCTCTGTGTGCAACGGACTGGTCTCTGTGTAATCATGTTGACATGTTTATCTCCCAAATTCAAAGTAGGCGCTTTGAAGGCAGAGATGGAAATGTGTCCAGTGCTGCAGTAATGTGTGTGTATGAGTGTGTTTGCACATGTATATGTACGCATGTGCGTACATACAGAACACACATACACATATAAATACATGGTACATATATACTATATAACGCACAGTCTATATAGTATATATATCCTACAGTGTACATATCTTTATACTATAATACAGTGTACAATGGTATAAGGTAGTAATTATTCCCATCATTAGACATAGTTTGATGAATGAATGGAGGAACCGCATTAAAGAAATCAATGAATGGTGCGAATGTAAGTTGCAGCCACTATGCAAAACAGTATGGAGGTTCCTCGGAAAACTAAAACTAGAGTTGCCATATTATCCAGCAATCCCACTCCTGGGCATATATCCAGACAGAACTGTAATTCAAAAAGATACCTGCACCCCTATATTCATAGCAACACTATTTACAATAGACAAGACATGGAAGCAACCTAAATGTCCATCAACAGAGGAATGGATAAAGAAGATGTGGTGCATATATACAGTGGAATATTACTCAGCCATAAAAAGGAATGAAGTAATGCCATTTGCAGCAACATGGATGGACCTAGAGATGATCATACTAAGTGAAGTAAGTCAGACAGAGAAATACCAAGTGATATCACCTGTATGTAGAATCTAAAATACGGCTCACATGAACCTATCTACGAAACAAAAACAGACTCACAGACATAGAGAATAGACTTGTGGTTGCCAGGGGGGAGCCGAGGTGGGGGAGGGGTGGATTGGGAGTTTGGGATTAGCAGATGCAACCTATTATGTATAGGATGGATAGACAACAAGGTCCTACCCTATAGTACAGGGAACTATATTCAATATACTGTGATAAACCATAATATAAAAGAATATGAAAAAGAATATATATGTATAACTGAGTCACTCTGCTGTGCACCAGAAATCAAACACAATATTGTAAACCAACTATACGTCAGTAGAATTAAAAAACAAAGAAAAGAAAAAGAAATTGAGAGGCATCTTCCCCAACCCTCCCACCTCCTGCCACCACTGAATTAGAATCTCTGGGCATGGTGCCCTACCACTAGCATTTTTACAGACAACTCTCTAGTTGACCATAATGTGCAGCCAGGCTAAAGAAAAAATGACTTCAAGCAACTAAGCTATTGAGACCCTACACGTGTGGTATACATTGTCCAATGCATATAAGGATTTTCTGGCCCTGTTTCATCACACCAATAACACTAGTACTGACTTATGCCTCATCCTTCCCCTCATCTGAAAGCTGTCTCTAATGCATAATATCTTGCCTTTAACATGCCACGTGCTCCGTAAATGTTGTCATAGGTATCACTAAATCTGACTCTAAAATTACTCTTGAAACTGATTCATAATCATATGACGGACATACTGGGGCTATTTACAAATTGTAAGATTGGACCTCCCTAAGAACAGTCAGGCTGAAATCAGGCACACAAATTAATGCTGTTAAAACTGAATTGTGTAACACTGGTTTTAACCAATAAGGACCTACTGTATAGTGCAGGGAACTCTGCTCAATAGTCTGTAATAACCTAAATGGGAAAAGAAATTGAAAAAGAATAGATATGGGTATATATATATATATATATATATATATATATATATATATATATATGAAACTAAATCACTTTGCTGTACACCTGAAACTAACACAACATTGTTCATCAACTATACTCCAATATAAAATAAAAATTTTAAAGATCAAAAAAAGAGGGCTTCCCTGGTGGCACAGTGGTTGTGAGTCCACCTCCCAATGCAGGGGACACGGGTTCATGCCCCGGTCCGGGAAGATCCCACATGCCACAGAGCGGCTGGGCCCGTGAGCCGTGGCCACTGAGCCTGCGCGTCCGGAGCCTGTGCTCTGCAACGGAAGAGGCCACAACAGTGAGAGGCCCGCGTACCGCAAAAAAAAAAAGAAAAAAAAAAGATCCAAAAAAGATACATGCACCCCTATGTTCATAGCAGCACAGTCACAGCACAGCACAACCAAGACATGGAAACAACCTAAATGCCCATCGACGGAGGAATGGATAAAAAGAAGATGTGGTACATATATACAACGGAATGCTACTCAGCCATCAAAAAGAATGAAATAATGCCATTTGCAGCAACATGGATGGACCTAGAGATAATCATACTAAGCAAAGTCAGTCAGAAAGAGAAAGATATGTATCATATGATGTCACTTACACGTGGAACCTAAAATATGACACAGATGAACCTATCTATGAAACAGAATCATGGACATAGAGAACACAGTTGTGGTTGCCAAGGGGGAGGGCGTTGGGGGAGGGATGGAGTGGGAGTCTGGGGTTAGTAGATGCAAACTATTATATATAGAATGGATAAACAACAAGGTCCTCCTGCAGAGCACAGGGCACTATATTCAATCTCCTGGGATAAACCATAATGGAAAAGAATGTGTGTGTGTGTGTGTGTGTGTGTGTGTGTGTGTGTATGCGCGCGCATAACTGAGTCACTTTGCTGTACAGCAGAAATTAACATTATAAATCAACTCTGCTTCAATAAAAAATATTGATAAAATCAGTGAAGTTACTAAACACATAGAAATGTTTCCATGAGAATTTTTATGTAAAAGTTGTACTGTATGCAAACTTATACATAAAAATAGTAAACTTTTCAAATCCATTTAATCTCCAAAAGGACTATTTCTCAGTAGGAAGCTCTGTTTCTAGAATATTTTGAAAGCATCATTTCAGATGGACCTGCTCATTTGGATCCTATTGTTTCCCAGGTGGCAGAAGATAATCATGGGCAAAATCCCTGCGTCTAACCGTGCGGAGCCAGCCTTGCCTTTCCTAAATTCAACAAGATTGTCACACCTTCCGTGTCTGACCAGGCCCAGTGCCGGGACGAAAGGCAGATCCCACAGGACCCTGCGAGCCTGGGGAAGCAGGACACGCGGAGACCCCTGGCGGCCTCTCTGGGGCTCGCCTTCTATCTGCCCGTCCCCAGATCCCTGGCCAGGAGCTTCCCCACAGCTCTTCTCACCAGTCCCCACCTCTGAGCAAAGCCGGAAACACCACGTAATGCATTTTCCAGCTCAGAGATGAGTGTCTCACAAGACTCTCCCCTTGCTTTGCTCAGTTCATGGCAAACAGACTAGTTTAGAACCACTGGCAACAAGGAAGCGGGTATGGGAATGATTTAGTCACTGCCCCCAGTGGAGAATTAGGTAGCCTTTTGCAGTAACTGTGACCACTGTGTAAAACCAGTACAAAAGAAAAAAGGGCATGCCGCATTTTTAGGAGGGAAACAACGGTTTCTAACAGTTTAACTGTCCTTAAAGACAAGTATGCATATGCACAAGGACCCCAAATCATGGAAGTATAAACATTTGTTCGAATGAGACACCCTTTCTTCTTAAACGTCCATTATGACGCCAAAATATTGCACATAAAACGGATAAAAATCCTAAGAAAAACTCAGAGGTAAAATTTGTACACATCATAGTTCAAAGGACATATTTCCGTGTATACGGGTATGAAGATTCTCCACGTAAAGACTGCAAATAAGAAAAAGGAACTCGAAGCACTTACTGCTGTGGACGGCGTGTGTGGACGTGAACTGGAGGGAGACCTTGGTGCTCTTGAGGCGCGTCTGGCCCCAGTAGGTGACAGCCTGCAGCTCTACTGTGTAGTCGCAGTCGGGCTGCAGTGGCTCCAGGGTCACAGAATTCTGAGACTGCAGGTGGAGGGAACACACACAGAGTCTGTTACAAGCCGCCCTTGCCTCTCAGCTTCCCTGCACAGCTGCTGTGTCCTCGTGAAGCACACCAGCTCCTCTCTGATGTCTGCCCGGACTATCTAAGATCCCAAATGGTTCTACATCTTTAGCATCTGAAAATCCACTTTTACCGTGGATCAAAATAAATGTCATACAAAAAGCACAAACACGTTTTTTTTTGAAATTGTATTCCTAATCCCATTATGGGATGCTTTCCGGTAGCAAGAAAATGAATAATTCTGTCCCCTCACTCCTTACTAGATACCACCTTACAGAGAGAAGAGAGCTGTAAAGGCTTGTGTTAGCACCACACACCTGGAAAGATTATGAACTGGCATTCCCTGTATTTCTCTGATTTTATCCTAAATCTTCTATGAGTGAATTTCCACCAAAAGTTGCCAGAAAAATCAACCTGACAAGATGCTTAAAGCACTTTTTTATGGCTTGCAGGTATAATAATAAAGCCCCTTACAAGTACTCGGAATTAAGAGAAATAAGGTTGCTGTCTTAGAATTCAAACATTCGTCAAAATATAGTACATGTGGGGCTTCCCTGGTGGTGCAGTGGTTGAGAGTCTGCCTGCCGGTGCAGGGGACACGGGTTCGTGCCCCGGTCGGGGAGGATCCCACATGCCGCGGAGCGGCTGGGCCCGTGAGCCATGGCCGCTGAGCCTGCGCATCTGGAGCCTGTGCTCCGCAACGGGAGAGGCCACAACAGTGAGAGGCCCGTGTAGCGACAAAAAAAAAAAAAAAAAAAAGCAAGAAAAAATATAGTACATGTGATATCACATGGCCCTAAGTGGTCTAATTGGTGGTATTAACATCTATGAAGGGAAAAATGTGCCCATCACTAATGCGACACCAGACATCAGGCAGTCAGTAAGTAGCACGTGCTTTCCCGCAAAGAGTAGGCCAGTTGTATGTGTGCATTGTGCTACATGAAGGTATCGTCATCTGAAATTGTCAAATACTGAAATCACATAAGCTGGTCCCTTGTTTAAATACCACAATGACCTGTCGGAATTCTCCGCGTCATTTTGGGTCACGCGAGATCTCTTTTCAGGGAGAGAACATGATTTCCATGGGCGTTTCAGAACCGTGAGCACAACGCTCCCTGTAAATTAATAGTTTGGCACCCTTACATGATTCAAGCTTTTGAGGGATCCGTTATCAGAACTCGGCCACCTTCCAGCAGGGCGGCTCTGGACGGCTGAAAGGACTGCACTTCCAGAAGTGGGGACTGAGAGGCAGGCTCTGGACCGTGGTCCCTGTTCCCAGGTGAGGCTGGGCCGCCTCTCAGCCACACCCACCATGGTATTAACCGTGCATCTTCGTGCCCTTTCTGCCTTTTACCTACAGTATGTCTATGAACTACCAATTCCCAATTTTTTTTAGTTAGGTTTCTTGTTATGTTCTGTATCACTCTTCCTAAACTATTATCTTCAAACAAGGAAAATAGAATTCACTTTTGAAAGAGCATTTCCTTGAAAATCCCCACTCCTCTTAGTTTTCACGGATATTAGGATATGAAAAGACATTGATCCCCAGGAAGAAAATTTCACAATTTCTCATGTTTTTCTACATGTTTCCAGTTCCTGATCGTAATTCTCATTGGTCAAATTTTAATATTGAGAACTTTAATGAGTCACGTGACCTACAGCTTGCCTCTTGTGGATCGAAAAAAACACGTCACTAGTAAGACAGTGAGCTATGATTAAGGCTACTCTGGGCCTGTTAACAATTATAATTAAATTTGCAGTTCTTTTTTTTTTTTTTTTTTTTGCGGTACGCGGGCCTCTCACTGTCGGGGCCTCTCCCGTTGCGGAGCACAGGCTCAGTGGCCATGGCTCACGGGCCCAGCCGCTCCGCGGCATGTGGGATCTTCCCAGACCGGGGCACGAACCCGCGTCCCCTGCATTGGCAGGCGGACTCTCAACCACTGTGCCACTAGGGAAGCCCCGCAGTTCATTTTTTATTTATCTATCTAATTGACATATACTGGAAATAAATTACAAACTTCCCTACTAATCCTTGGTGCTGTTTGGTTATTAAGGGCATGTCAGGGGCAGGGGGCTGTCAGCGTTTCATCACATCACTTTTTGCTTTCCATCCCTGTGATTGCGCAACTTTCTCTCTTTCAGCACTTTCTGTGAGATAAGCACACATTACCAATGGTCACTTGTTGCAAAGTCCTACAAAATAAAAGCTGGAACTGTCAGAAAGTTTCTTGAAAATAAAACCAAAACAGTATCACAGCTAAATATCGGTGATGTGGACCTGTGGAGACATGTTTTATAATTCTCAATGGCACAGATATTGGAATCTTCAGTGCAAAAAAAAAAAAGTCTGGTGTCCTTCCAAAGCACTTTCAAACATTTATTTATTTACGGAATTCAACCTTATGAATTAGGGGAAAAGGTGTTAGGTTTTCTAACAACGAGATAAAGGAATGTGTACTAAAAGGACACCAAACACTCATTTTTATGCATTAAGCATTTCATATGATGCAAAATGTTCGGTGTTATAGAGATCTCATTGCATAAAACGGTTCAGTGAAGATTTTATTTCTTGGCGTGTGGAAAAATAAGCCATTCCAAGTTCTTTTAATCAATAAGAAAAGCATATTGTCAAACATGCATTTTCTAAACTGTCTGCTGTCACACTCATTAGATTATAGATGGGCGCCCCTTACGATACACAACAGATAAAGCCGTGAACATTTACTCTTCAGTTTATAAGGATCTCTTTAGAAAAAAAGAGACCTAAATGTCAAGGACATTTTGAATTGTCTCATTTTCAATGGCTAGACAGGTTAAGATGGAGATATTTTTGTTCCTCTGATTTCCGGAGTGGTGCCAGCCATTTGGATATGAGTAAGTCAACAGACTAAACTCAACTGTTGTCACCTAAAATGCACACGGCTGAACGGTTGGCGTGGTCCTCTGTTTTCTGAATTTCCTCGTTCAAAGGGGAGGGATGGCAACCTGTCCCTCATCCGTCCCTCTTGTGGCTCAGCAGAGGCCACTCTCAGACCAGGTGGCTGAGTTCAAACACCACTGCGAGGAGATGGGCCTCTCCCCCTGGTTCTCACTCACCCCACCCGTGGTCCTTCTCTTCTTTGTTGGCACAAGTGACTTGCCGCTGACCGTCCAGCTCCAGAAGACTTTGTAGTGATGCACTGGGATGTCTGGCTCCTCGGGGAGATCCCAAACGATCGTCACAGTCACGCTTCCGTCACTGTTGATGGTGGAGTTTGCAAGCCGGAGGTTGGCTGGGGCCGGTGGTGCAGATGGATCTGAAATCCCAGGAGAAAGACACAAGGGCCCAGGGTGACCACAAAAGCATCGCCCCTGTACATGTAATGACTACAGGGTCGATGCAGGAAGACTGCCCTTGATGTGGAGAACAGCTGAAGATAAGCACTAAGGAAGATCCCCTTCTTAAGCCTCAAACTGAAAAACGACCTATAGCACAGTAAGAGCAGTGTGTTTGGGCCATATTTGTAATCTAGGCGTTTCCATACCGCCACAGCCCGGCCAGATTTTCACTGTACCGAAATGGATAAAGTCCTGTAAAACATGGTCAAATTCCATTCAGGTTGGCTGGCATTAAATAGGTCAGCAAAGTTGAAATGCCTTTGAAAATTCTGAAAAGAAAAGACAGAAATCTAGGACCAGCTCATTCGAATAACTGTTTTCATCCGAGCGGTCCTGGAGCTTTAGATCCTTGAATCAAAAGTTAAGAGTGACATGAAAACGTCAGCAAAAACAAACCATTTATTTTTTAGCCACATTACAAAGTGGATGACAGACGGGTAACATTTTTATAATTTCACCATTTCTAGTTTGTCGCATAAGCCAAAACCGTCTCAGCTGTCAGGAGAGAGATTAGGTTCTGGAATGATTTCTCTACAAACCTCCATTTGAAATATATATATGAAGATGACTAAGTACGTGTAAAGCTGAGGGTCTTTCCTTCATTTTTTGCCACAAATTGAGCCAGCCGCTCACCACAAATGATTTACAGATGGTTTTGTTTTAAGACGCCTGCCCGGGAAAATGCTGTCAATAATTCTACTTATAATACCATCTGCATCAGAGGGGTAAGGAAGCTATATCTAACTCCATATAAATGAGGAAGACTGGCGAAAAATACCCATGTTTTTACTCGTGGGATGGTTTGTGTTTCGGGGATGATGGAAACGTGAATTATTTTTTAAAAATCTGTTGCTTTTCTGTAAGATAGATAAGTTTTGGAGGTGTGGTGGGCTGTGTCATTTTTAAAAGCTTTGTAGTTGCTTTCCTAGGCTAATGGCTCATCCAAAGCACATTACCTGACATGCCTGACCAAGGTGGTTCTCAAACGGTCACCGTGAGGAACCCTCTGGGAGCGCCCAAGACTTACACTGAGGTATGCTGATTCAGCAAGTGCAGGTGTGGCCCACCGATATATCCACGTTAAATATATATTCGTGTTTCATGTAAAATACACACTTTTATGTAAAGCACACACGCTACTCTGAAGTAGATGACCCGCAGGTCTGAAGCTGAACAGTCCTGCACCTGGTGGCGGCCAAGCAAAGGTGTAAACAGCCCTTGGCTCCCACGAGGAGGGAAGTGCTGGGTCCTGTTATCACGGGCTCAGGAAGCACGGCCTTCCTCGCTCTGCTGGTTCTGCGGAGCCCCTGGGAGCCCCACTCTGGTCATCCCCACGGAGGCGCCACACGCCTCACTGCTTTCACCTTGCATCGTGGTCTCCGCCTGCCTCCGCTCCCCACTGGCTGTCCCTCTGGCCCCTTGTCCCTCCTCAGCCTCCCCCCTCCTGGCCTCCCCATCCCACCGCCGCTAAGCGGGGGAGCATCTGGCCTCTGAACTCGGGGGCCTCTTGGCATCTACACCCAATCTCTAGAGATCTCACCAGTCACAGCTTTAAAAAGTCTTTGCGCTGGTAACTCTCAAAGGTATGGCTTCAACACAGACTTCGCCCCTGAACTTGGATTCAAGTACTAAAGGGTCTTTGCATCAGCTACTCTTGGAGGTCTCAGAGGCAGCTTGAAAGGAATGTGCCCAAGACCAAAGTCCCCATCCCTCCCAGCCCCTGCTGCCCACCACAGACGCCCCATCTCAGGAAACACAAATTCCTCTTTCCGCTGCTCCCGCCCCAAACCTCGAGGTCGTATACGTACACTTCTGCTTTCGTTCCTTGAGCTAGCAGTACCTTCAAAAATCTATCTGGAATCTTACTGTTTCCACCAGAATAACACCGTGTGCCAAGCCTTTGTCTTTGCTCCCTGGTGACGGCAAAGGCCTCTGGGCCTTTCTCAGTACGGCAGCTGGTGGTTCTTTACGACACAAGCTGAGGCTCTTCAGCTTGGAAGCTCTCGATGGCCTCCGGTCTCACTTAGAGTCCCAAAGTCCTGTGCATTCTTACCACACATAACGTCCCAAACCTCCTTTCCTGTCCCCACCTGAGCCTGCTGCGCTGGCCACACTGGTTCCCATCTGATTACGTGGAGATGAAAACCAAGAGCTACTGAAGCTTTTCCACCGGTTTAGCCTAAACGCCTCCCTTCCTATCCGCCCCC